TGGGCCGTGTAGTCTATTTGTTATCGCACGGAATACTGAATAGTCACCCTTTTGATGCTTAGTAATTCACCAACTCACCTCTCAATAGAATCCGTAAGCTTATCGGATTATTATTCGTAGTCGCGTACACTAAACTCTAGATTTTCGAGGTTCATTGGGCCGTAACTTGCATATATGCGCTGGCGTTTAAAAACTGGTGGAATATAAACCAGTTGGCGTCAAATACCAACCAGTATCAGTAAAGGGTTGACAACTAACATCTTCCCCTGCTGCACGTTAACTTGCTTCAACTTGACTTCGCTTGCCAACACTGAGGGTCGCTATACCTGTGGCTGCGGCTTTGGCTGCCACTTCTTACGTTTCAACCGCTGCAACCACTGCTAAATCGGAAGGAGAAAGCTATCGCTGTTGCTGTGGCAGTCGCAGCAGCCCTGAGGGACACGACTCGAGGTTTTCGCCCACCGTTGAGAAATTGCTAAGCTCGCGAAGCACACATGATTTATGTGCTGCCAATAAATGAGTTTGTCCCAAGGAAAAGTGTGGCAGTTGCACAGCCAAGCGCTAGATCACTCGTGCCACAAACGGCTATGCATTAAGCATATTGCCAATGCATACGCATGCATGTATGTATGTTTGTATGTGGAATGTGTGCACACTTGCAGATGAGTTTGTGCAGTTCTATGCATGGTTACCTGCGGTTGGCCCCAAGCGTCTCAGTTCAACGGATTTCGCCACACCGAACTACGCAGCACCTCTCTGCCTCGCGCCGGCTAACAGAAAAAACTTTAGCCTCGGATTGTTTTCAGTTGAATGCATGCAATGCAATGCAATTTCATATTCATCAATAATAAATAAGTCTGAGTGTTGCTGTGGCCTTGTTGCACCCCATTGTTGCTGCTTCTGGTGTTGTGCTGGGGGCTCGTGGTCTATATCAGTTGTTGTAGCTGCTCTTGCTGTTGCTTTTATCGTTGTTGTCATAACTATAACAACGGTTTCAATCAAATTTGCTCATGACAGAGACACAACTCAACAAAAGGATATTTTGCGTGAAAACATGGAACATTTTGTTGTTGTTATTTGTAGTTTTTGTTTTGCTTTTTGCTATAATTTGTTGTCGCTGCTGTTGTTATTTTCGTTGCTGTTGTTGTTTTCGGTTATTGTTATTATTTTGTAGTGCATAAAGATTTGTATTGTCAAAGTGAGTCATTTGTTGCATGCAACCGTTGCATAAATATATTACGTTGCTGTTGCATTTGTAAAGAGGCAAAGTGATTGAGCTTTTAAAGGAGGAAAGTGCTGGTTTATTAAATTGTTGGAAGTTGATTTCATACATAAACCATTCAGAATAAAGAGAGAGAAGTGAGAGAGAGAGGAGAGAGAGAGAGGAGAGCCATTTCTAGTAACATATGTATGTATGTTCTGGGATTCGTTAGTAGGAATTTCTTATTAAGCATTTTTAAGCGAAAAACCACTTCTTTTCCCTTGAAGGTGAGGTGGAGTTGGAAAATGTTGGCGCCAGACCCCAATGTTTTTTGGTTCTAAATGGAAATACTACTCTATTGCAAAAGTTTCAGTTACTAAAAGCATGGCATCATTTCGTCGGGCAACTCCGGAGTATGGGTCTTAAAAATAATACATTTTGAGAAGCTGAGATCGGTTTGATGATCACGGCTCAAAGAAACCCAATTTTTCCTAAATGAGCTCAGTGTAAACCTCTCTCCTCGCGAAACCTAAGAAGGACATACGTAGATTTTCCCATTTGTGTCGAAATGGCTAAACCAGGCCGCTCTGTTGAATTAGCCAACGTAGAGAGCAAAATAAAAGGGGATAGCATTATGATGGAACAGTGGAAGCGATCGAAGCCGAACCCAATTTAAGACTTATGCGCCTCTTAAATATCAAATATTAACAAAACAAAAAATAAATTGAGAAAAGGGTCTTTAAGAAATCAGTTTAACATGAAGAACTGGTCTTCAGTAAATTAAAACCCTTTGATTGTAAATTTGACATGAAATAAAGGATTCTCATAAAAATCCTGCGTCCACACAGAGATGTCGTAGAGTAAATTGTAGATTTCTTCATTTGATGGAATGGATAAAGGACAGACTAAATGACTCTTTTCTTCACAAAAACATTCGGTGCATGTTCATCTTGGCTCGGCCGTCAATGTTCCCAGTCCTAGCTTTGACGTCGTACATCTAATAATTACAAAAACAACCATATCAATCTTCAAATGCAATGCGGAGTCAGTTCTGGATTGAGTAGAAAACTGAAAAGCAAATCCTGAAAGCGAAACTCTAAATGTCGGCCATCATTCCCGTCCTGCTATATGGTACAGAAAAGGGACCTTGAGTCGCTGAGAGTATTGGCAATTATTTATGTTGTCCATGTAGGTGATTTCTTTCCAGCTTTGAACGTAGAGGTCTTTCTAACCATGTCACTCTGGTGTACTAAAGTCACAGCTTCCGTGTTGTTGCTCTCTATGCTTTTAATTCTCGCTGTTTCACAAGAGGCCAGACTCATATTTCCCGTGGAAGTTAGGAGTATACGAAACGTGCAATGCCTCTGCACAGAACTGAACTTCCAACGCCTTTCACTAGGATAAGTGTTTTTTAAGGTATAAACCCTAACACTTTGGCTGACATCAAATTTACTACAAAAGTTTGGGTGTTCAAAAACAGCAAAACACAAGTAAAGAACCCGAAAGAGTAAATGGCGGTGGACGGTGTAAAATTATTCGACCAACTGACCGTGAGTGTAGCTGAAGGTGTGCAAGTATCACAAGTACACAGCCTGAAACATGGATACATATGTTCGTAAATACATACATTTAAGCATATATATATACATACAGCCATGCCGTTGCGGCTTTGTATATTATTCAGTCCCATGGACGCGCTAACATTTTGCAAGTATTTATATTATATATATATATATATATATATATATATATATATGTATGTATATTGTAACACAATATGCCACATGGGGTGACTGAAAAATTAAACGGAATAAAAATATTATGCATGCAACAACAAGAACAACAAAAGTGGCTGCAAATTTTCGGTGAGCAAATGACGACAAATGTGGGGATGAATGGAAAGCAACAAAATGCAGGTATCCCCACCACATATATACCTACATATACATACATACATACATTGGGTATAATTTAAGTGCATACAAATAAGCCAACAAAGCTGCTGGTCAACGCTGTGCGCTCAACAGCGGAAGCTAGTTTCACCTTCGTACGGTAAATTTGCTCGTGTGCGCTTCCCGGTGGGAGCGTTGACGTTGAATTAGATAATGGATTATTATTTTATTTCCACTTTGCGCCAACACCACAATCACCACGCACAGGCAACAGCAACAACAACAGTGGCAGCCCAGACAAAAGCAATAAAACTGCAACCGCAAAATAGTGCAAACCAGCAACAACAACACCAACTTGAAAGAGCTGCATGACTGACTCAGTGCACCAGCAGGGTTGGAGCGTTGTTTATTTTTCCACACGGAGGGAAAGTCGGAGGTGAAAAGTTGTTGCTGAAATTGCTAACCAGCCGCCGCAAGCGTAAAGTCCGCAGCAGAGGGACAGACGCACAGTGGGAAATTTGTACTGAAATCGCTGGACAAATGATTTTGCGTAATTTTACTTATGATTTTTTTAACAAAATGGTCGATAAAAAATACAGAAAAATTTACATTGCAGTTTCTCTTTACTTTGAAACATTTTTTTTATCATGCCATTTTTTTACTATATTTTCTTTTTATTAAATCAGTAATTTCATAATAAATAAATAAAGTAATAACAGAATTACAGGCCCAATAAGAATTTTGAATATTGGAAAATTGGCTTTATTTTTAATAGTTTTGTATTTAAGCTGGGCTAATTTTTGAAAATAAAGTCAAATTACTCCCGATCTCGTTTTTCGGTCGAAATCAAAACTAGATGCCTTGGATGTTTGACTCAGTCTAATATCTATTTACGAGATGGCATAAAAATGCAATGTAATCTTTTTTTTTATAAAAATCACAGATATATATGTCTCAAATTTACTTGGTTTTAGATGCCGATATAAATTTCTCTCAGCTTAGCCCACCACTGTATTTACCAAAATTTATAACTAAATTAGTTAAAGATATGAAATTCCTTTCCTTCGATTTTATGAGGTATAATTTATTAGAAACTACCCACTGTCTGTGGGCGAGTGTGGGTGTCGAGGGTTCCGAAAGTTTTGAGCATTTCTACAGTTGCTGGTCGCTCTCTGCTGGCTCTGCGCTTTCTGTTCGCCCATTCACCTACAAATAGTCACGCCACGCCGGAAATGTGTTTGTGTGTACATATATTTATAGATATGTATATATATATGTACATATATTTTTCTATATACTCATACTTCAACATAGTTTACTGGTATGTTACAAAATGCTTTTGCAAAATGTTTGTTATTTCCCTCTTCATTCATTCACTTTTTTGTTTTTTTTTTTTTTTTTTTTTTTGGTTGTTTGCTTTTGAAAATATTTTAGATTTATGAAAAATTCGTTTTCGTGCAATTCAACAAAACTAACAATAACAAAGTTTCGCAATGATTTGAAGCAGAATGCAATCATTGCTCGTCTCGCCCTTTAAAGTTTATCATTCACACACTCCCACACCCACACTCGCTCTCATGCATACCGCGCTGTGATGCACAGTGTTTTCGCCACTACAAAATTGGCCAGTTTGTTGACCATTAAGCGGGGGATGCTAAGTAAACCATTGAATTTGTGCTCCAACTTCCCGTTATAAACTTAGTTTGCGTGGCAAAATTTAACGAATTTTTGGTTAGTGACAGTAAAACGCTGAGTTCACCGGCCTAAAGTATGAAAATATGAAAATTGTGTAGTATTACCGGAAAATTATTTATTAAAAATATTTGTTTCAAACACATTTAAAAAAAGTTATATAAATAATTATTTAAAATACTTTTGTTTATGTTTTATTCACAAATATCATAGTGAACAGCTTTTTTGCGTGTTGATACATTAAAAGAACATCGGTATTCTATTGGCACTATGCTGCAATGAAGCGCCTAAAATTATGCAATTTGCGTGTACGCTCAGAAATTTGTCTGAGTAAGCAGTGAACAGTGGTGGGCAGTTAATTGAAACTATACATTTATATTGCTGATGAAGGAAAAAATGCCCATACTTCTTTTGTATTGTCTAACATATTTGTGTTTGAATTCAAAATTTCTAAAAGAAAAATAGAAAGGAAAACTTAATGACATTATTTTCTTAACTCAATTTTATTGAATATACCATAAATTGTTTGACCTTGTTTCTTAAACCGCCTAGTTGATATATGCAGCTCCACCCTTCTGTACGCATGCCTTGACGGGAATACGGAACTTGGCTGTCGGAGATATGCGCAACATCGAACTGATTATCTCGGTTCGGTTTATTCTCATGCACCTAAGAATCTATTTAAAGGAAAGCAGTATCTACATATGGTTTTAATATGAGTTTTTAATTGGTTTTTATGTTATTTGCTATTATAGTATAGTAACATAAGCAAAGCTCTAGCTATGTTTCAAATATAAAGCAAATCAAATCAGAAGTATTGTAGAGATCGGTTCCTAAATCACGTCCGAGAAACATAAATTTTTTTCTCTTAAATGCGCCTCGGAATTTTAGAGTTCATTTCGAACATCACATATCCTTTTTATCAAGCTTAGCGGTAGGATTTCAGAAAAATCTTTCCAATTGGTTGCCTACTCTATATCACAGAATGCATACCCTACGAGTTAAACAGTCATTGAGGACATACAGATGACAAGATAGAATATTTTGCCCCACATCTATGCACATTATACTCAGTCCCTTACCAAAGTTATCGTAGATATAAGAATAAATTGATATTTATCATATGTGAATAAAAATATTGCTCAGCGGGCTTCTTTGAGTACTGGGAGATGATTTCGAAGTCGGAATAATTTACAAAATCAAAAGAAAAATTCACATTGATTGAGGAGGAAGTTCTGGTGAAATTCTTATCAAAAGCTTTTCATAACCAGTCATATTGTTCGTTTCGACCCGAAACGAAATTATTTTCGTTCGCCAAATTTGGTATTCTGCATTCCGTTCTGTTTCGATTTATATTTCTATTCTTTTTTAATTATAAAGTAATCTAACTCTACCTTTGATTTGCTTCCATGTCCTTGTCGGTTTCTTTTATCGGTTGTCAAAGTTATTCATGCAACTCTGCGCTCACAAGTGAAATTTTTCCCAACTGAAAAGAAAAACGAGATGGAACAGTTGATCACAGCCGTGAGCTCCAACCGGAAAATAAGAGAAGTTTTCCTAATTTAGTTGGCGGAGAATGGTAAGAGCCTGTTCTCTTCTTCTTCTTCTTCTTTCGATTGGAACGTTTTAACCGAATTAGCCGTCGTTACGTTTTTTTTCATAAAATTATTGTATGTAAAAAATTATAAAAATTTTATTAGGAAGTAACTCAGGTGACTTCTTTCTATTGCACAAAGTTGCCAGTAGCATTTTTCAATAAATTTGAAATAAATTTAAAAGAAAGCAATTTTCAATTAGAAATAAATGAATGGGGAAAGAATAATTGGTTACTTACTATTCATTATCATCAATTTTAGGGCACTTATATTTCAACCGGTTACCGAACAACCTTCCAATAGGAATTGAAATACAAGATAAAGACAACAACAATGTACAAGTTTCATACCCGTCCAAGGAGGAAGAACCATATTTAATCGTTTTTCTTTGTGCATCTCGAAGTAAACCGTAATGTTTTCCGGGAAGTAGTCCTGGGACCGATCTATTCGAAAAATCGATTTTTTTATTTACATAAAATTTGCCTAAATTGAAATGGAGAAAACTACTCCTCCGAGAGGTGGACCTGGGGCCGATGCGATGGTACGAATATACTTTATATGAGCAACATATACATACATATAACATATAACATTAGTTTATGAGTTATAATAAAATTTAGGCAGTGATCTTCTTTTGAACACGAAAAAATCGTTTTATCAGCAATTTTTTGAGTTTTAGAATTTTCAGACAATTAATTACTGTATTAAAGTTTCAAAACAATTTTTATTATCCAAAAACAAAATTTACAAGTGTTATTTCTATATGATTTAATAAAAACCATTAAAATTTTTTTTTTAATTTGAAAAAAATTAACTTTTTAGTGCAAATAGAAGATAATTTAATGCTGAAACTATTGTAGATCACTTTAAGTTTTTTCGACCGCACTGTACTCGCATATTGTTTTTGCTATCACCGGCTCTGTTTTCTGAGACTTGTAAAGTTGAAATTTTGAGAAAACGCGCTTCAAAGTCTGCTCGAGCTTCCGATCCTGCTCGGCGATCGGCCGCTAGAACTGCTCAAGCATCTGAAAGAGACAAATTCTTTGATAGTTTCATAATAGATTTGAATTTCGTATTATGAAGACACTAAAACATTAATACATAATATAAAAAACCTATTAAATCTTATTTTAACTTTCTGTAAATTCCATGCGGACGAAGGTGCGGGCAAACTGGGTGTAGAAGGACATCCATTTTACGTAAAATTAATAATAGTATGAATGAGTAAATAAATTATTAACTTCCATTTTTTAACAAAATATGTGTTAATTATTTTTAATAAACCATTTAATCGCGCCCAGGGGTCTTACTCTTCAAATTAAATTTGCGCTCTTTTAAATCCCATTCACAACACATTTCACTATATTTTTTTAATTTGAATATTTTTTTCACTGCACTTTTATTTTATTTTATTTCATACTTTCTGCCTCTCAATTACATGTTGTTATGGCGATACGAGCCCTTATCAGTTCTCCGTCCAGTTGACAATGCATACACGGGGCGAAAGAATGATAAGGGTACGAATGCACCGCTGCCGCCAACACACACACACACACACGCACACACAGTGGTTATGTGACTTTTTAAAAAATAGCACAAAAAAAAGGCGAAACAAAATACTTAAATAAATAATAAATATAACCGTTATTAACCCGTATTTACTGTCCATATAACTGTAAAAAAAAAAAAAACACCCAGACGAACGGGTGTATAATAGTAAATGCCTGTTGACAATTGACATCGAAAAGCAGCAGAAAACTACAAAAAAAAAAAACGTAAAATGTGAAGCAAACGTTTGTAGATCTCGATATACATACATACATACGCAGATATGGAGGAGGTTGCGTTGCCGATTTGTGGTGTGATTTGTTAGGGGCGGTGATGTCAGTTGCTTGTCGCTGCTGTGGGGAAATAAAAATGTTTTAAATGCATAAAATAATACAAATTTATTTTACTTTCCGTAGCGCGTTGGGGGAAAAAAGCAAAAATAAGAACAACAACAATAAATATTCCGTAGTGACTCCACAACAGTAGCTGTCAACAAGTAAAGGGGGGGGACGTACTTGTACAAGCACACATATCTACATATATACATACATACATACATACCTATATAATAAATATGTTAAATAAAACTGTTTACATAAATTTATATTCACTAAATATACAAACGTATGATTGAAGGCTTCTGTACATGCAGTTGCTTATGTGTTTGTTTGTCCATATGCCTGCCTGTGTCTGCTGGCCTCGTATTTGCATACAACAGTATGCCAAATTAAATTCAATTACATATTCATGGCAACTGTTGCTCGAACTTTGCATGGAGTCACCACATTGGACAGGTCGCCTGGCGGTCGGCCCCTGGAGCCGCACTACACTCCATCCGAAAGCACTGAACAGCTGCTACACTTGCGCTGTGTGTGTGTGTGTGTGTGTGAGTGTGTGTGAGTGTGTGTGTGTTGTGAGCACTCGGTAATCCAAAGTGCTTCGATTTTTTCCATTTTTTTCCTTTTGTTTTACTTTTACCTCTGCTGCCACTGGTTGATTCAATCGCTCCACTCTAGTGCCCCCGCTGTCCGATGGCTCTCTCTTTGTTAAGCTCTGGCATTGCCAATCATATTTTATTTTATTTAATCAACATGGCAGCCTTGTCAGGATGGAAATTTACACTGAAGTAGAGAGAAATTTGCATTTACTTTGTTATAGAGCTACATAGACATGTATGTATGTACATACATATGTATGCGCGGATGTTTGCCTATAATATCAAGCAGAAATTATTCCATTTTGATTTTTTTTTAAATTTTCTTTGAAAAAAAAAATAAAATTAACAATATCATGTTATTGGTATAAAACTTAAACTGCTACAATTTTTTATGTAAAAGTTTTAGAACAATTGGCCTACTCAAGGGTCACCTTGCGGTCAGGTCCTTAACCTCCGCTCCCATTCAATTTACAAAATTTGTAGTAAAGATGCATTTGGTTTCAGTTTTTATAGGCAATGTTGTTAAGTTTTCATCTTTTTTAATTTATTGTTACAATTTTTAATAATTATTTCAAATAATTTTCAATTGCCAACGAACTTACCGTTATAGAGAATTTGTTACAAATTTGCTTACAAAAAAAAAAAAGAAAAATATTCAGAATGAATTATAAAGGACAAGTTTTTGCTCTTCACTGTACTTGTAACTGTAGCTTCCAATAAGGGCTGTATGTGAGTATCTAATGCGCACACACATGCACACGTTGCATATATTAAATTTGACTTTAACTGTCAATCGTACCCAAGTGCTGCAGCTCTACATGAGCAAAGAGGTGAGTGAAGAGTGATAAAGGATGAAATATCTGTACAAAAAGAAAATTCTTCATATGCAGCAGCATGCAATTCCAACTCCTCGGTTCATTTATTCTGTGAAGTAGAAAAAAAGTTTTCAAAATAAATTCAAAATAAAATAAATTTATTTAAAATGTTTGTATATTTTTAAAGATTTGAATAGTTTAAATGCTGGTCATTTAGAGACCAATCGACATTTTCAAGTAGTAAAACAAAAAACATTTGAATGCTTTTGAAAAAATAAAATTATTAAATTGTGTTTGGGCTCAAGAGTTGACGTTTTCAGAAATAAATTAATAATTTGTAATCTTTATTGAGTGAATGATGGGAACTGCGGATTGACACAAATGCATACATATATGTATACATGAGATAAATATTATTAAATTTTAACCACAGAATTTTTTTAATAACAACTTTTCGCAACCGCTAAAGGAATATTTTATTAATTTTTCTTGTTTGTTTTCACTGAAGAAATAACTGTCAACGTCAATTGCGCGCTTAATCACTCAACAAAAATCGCCGTTATCCCGGATTTCGCTCTCATGCCGCACAAAAAATATTCAGCAGCAAAGCGGCAAAGCGTCCAAAGATAATTACATTAAAATTTCTCCTTTGTCATGCGCTTTTTGCAACTTTTAATTAAACATTTTTATTGCAAACAAAAACAAATAGCAAAGAAAAAAAAATATTGTATATACAATTTTACATACAAACATAAGCGAACTTTTATAGTTGTAAACACATGTATATTTATTTATTTACTTATTTACATTATGTATGTTGTACATGCCAACTTTATATGTTTATATTTTTGCAACAAACGCGGTGCACATTTGTTTTTGCAAGCTTAATTGTTGTTTTCGTAAAGCGAGTACAAAAAATACAATAAAAACAGAAGCATTTGGTTATGTATCGAATGAGGAAGAGGAAGAGCTAGGGAGCAAAAGTGCAAGAAAACGTGCACAACGCTCCAAGCAAAAGGGAAAATGCAAATATTTATTTATATTTTTCAACGAAAGAGGGGAATTAAGTAATTGTGTGTGTGTGTGTGTGTGTGTCATACGAAATTAAATGAATAACTATTAAAAACCAACAGGAGCAAGCGTACCGCACTATAGCTCAGTGGCATTAAATCAAGAAAGTGAAATCATCCTTAGTTATGGAAAATACTATAATTTATTTAATTATTTAATTAAATTATTTTTTTCTAATTTTAACTTTATATTTTTAACTTTATTTTATAATATTTTATTCAATTAAATTTTATTTTATTTTATTTTACTTTACTTAATTGTATGTTATTGTAATTATATTTTTTTATTTTATTAAATTTTTTTTAAATTTTATTTACTTATATTCTATGCTCTTTTTTAATTTATTTAGTTTTTTAAAATACGTGTTAATTTCAAATATGCAAGAAAATACAGGAAAAAACTCAAAAAGTATATAAAATATAATGATCTACAAATATGAAATTAGTGTATTTCTCCTTTTTCCAATATTTTATTATTTAGTATATTATACATACACGTATGTATGTGCGTAAATGCTCTTTCGAACAACTTTGCAGCTCTTTATTTTTGCTTTGAACATTTCTTTGCATATGCTAAGGCGCAATAAAAGGTTTCGCATGACAAATGCATAAAGAATTTATGCGAAACAAAGGGAAATATTATAATGCTAATAGAGATTCAATCAAGGCTAAAGGTTCCATCATAAGCAATGGATGCCAAGTGAGCTGTACAATGGAAATGAAGAAGACGCCGCGCAACTAGTCTTCGGTACTTCCATTTCATTATGCATGTATATAATTAAAATATTTCAACGCCCACACATGTATGTATATATAACCGGTGAGTCTGGCTGTTCACTTGAGGTACCCAAGGGTTTCTTTGTTTGCAATTTGAGTACTGAACAAAAATGATTTGCTTCTTTCTATTAGCGGCGGAATGAAGAATTCAAAACTGAATTTATTCGAGAGCAATAGGAGATTTAAAATATTCGGAACGTCTTTGTAAATATGACTGTACAGAAACATGGCTCCATAACTGCTGTAGCGGCGTGCATAAGTATGAATATGTGCACTTATGTATGTATTAGTGTGGATGTACATGAAGTTGAATGTGATTCTTTCTATTCCTTTGTGTCGTGCTTTCATTATTATAATGTATTTTTTTTCAAGTGATTACGTAATGCTTTTGTGATTTGTAAATGCGTTTTCTATGTCTTCTCTTTTTCATTTTCTGCTTTTTAAGATTCCTCATTTCTCATTCCTTTTAAAACTCACTTTAGTTTCGAAAAAATTTGAATTGCTAAAGATGTTAAGTGGGCAAGGAAACATGCTTAATACATATGTACATACTGTTTTATTTGCTCTGACATGCATGTGTATGTTATTAATGTATGTGCATACATATTTATATATATATATTTATATATAACATTTTAAATTGTGTAAATAAGTGCAACATTAAAAAGGCAAAAATAAAAAGAAATTCATTGAATTTTAATATAGACAAGGTCAGGCATTAACTTTACTTAATGAAAAACTGATTTCTCCTCAGAACATGAGTACATCAAGTTCTTGCGCCAGTTTTAGCGTTTAAAAGCGCTTAAACTTTTATTTGAATTTTTGTATTTTCTTCTTTTTTTCGCACAAACTCACATAATCAATTCTAAGCCTCAATTTTCTTCACATTTCGCATGGTCGATTGCCGATCGGCTATCATGACTAATACATAAAGCCTTGTCAAATTTTCTTCAAAATCTCCCTTCACTGCAATCTCTAACGGTCTTTAGTGTTAAAAAATGAATGGCGCAGACGTGCCTTCTTGCTCATTCGAGTGTTTATTTGAGCAATCGAGAGTTAGGGGTGTGAGCGCTCGCACCATTGGCATTCTTCAAAATCCATTGAAGCAACTTAAGTGCGCTCATGCGCATGCGTAATAAAGATTATTAACGATTTGTAAAATGAATAGAACAATTGATGTATTGTGCTTAGTTAATACGAAAAATATATTGTGATTTTGTGAAAATAAATGAAAAAAGTAGTTCTTTCTTCTGCTGACGCATTTGAGTGTAATGGAAATCCCTATACAATTTGCCCTCCAATGTTGATGAACTCGCAAAATTTCTAGACTTCACAAAGCAAAATAAAACTGTCCTAATAATACTGAGTTTAATTAGTTGAGCTACTAAAAACTATCACATTTAGGTTCAGGTCACTCTCCATGCATAAACTCTCCAACATGTATGACGTTTGAACACTCTAGAGAACTTTCTTCCATTTACATAGATCCGAGGAAAATTCGCCAGACTAGATGGCGACAAGTTCGAACTGAGAGCAGCTCATAGAGTATGCTTCCACATTTCGAAATCGACGAAACCAAAATCGTGCATGACTGAGTTATAGAGTATCAGCACCATAAACACTTTTCACATTAACAGCTAGAAGACTTGCGTTTTCGCTTTTATCGAAGAAAACTTGTAGAACGAAGCGCATTTTCTCTTTGCTGTTGGTCATCTTTGGCATGCGCTCAAACACTCTAAGTGTTCAACACTTCTCCCATTATATTTTTGAGTATAAAATATCATGTTTTCTAATACCGTCTAGCAAAAAGAATGGATTAATTTTTACTATGCCTGAGTTCGGCATGAAAATGGGTCATAACACAATTCGAAATTATGTGAAGTTCTTACAATCAGAAACTTCAAAAATTACCATCGGCGGACTTATTCATATTAGGGTATATTAAGTTATATTTTGAATTTGGATATATTATGGAAGTTCCTGTAAATAGACTTATAACATTTCTAGTCCGAAATCCAGCTTGATATTATACATTTTTGCTCAACAAGATGAAGAGAATTTCATTTCCTTGCAAAAAAATGCATGCAATGCATGCGTAATATACAATTCGCATGGACTCCTGGCAAACCCAATCAACAAATTTAACTCTTTTATAAGTAAAATATGTGTAAATGAATTCTTCCGATAAATATGGTCTAAATATTTTAGGCAAGGTTTTTCAGAGTGATCAAATCCGAAATTTTTTTCAAGAGGCTTAATTTATTATATAAAACACGGCTGCATGGTAAGGATAAATTTTACGTTAATCAAAAAATGTCAATCGACTCGGTGGAAACATTCGGAAATGTTACCGCTAAAGCAGTTATCAGCATAAATTTTATTTCCTTTTTACCTGAAACGAAAAGCTGTGGCTCATGGTATATCGTTAATAGATAATGTTAAGTGTCAGGCAGCCAGGAAATTTTTTTGATAATTCAGTGGTTCGAATACTGCATTAAAAACTAAATTTTTGGTAATTTTTTTTAATAACATCAACTTTTTATATCTTTTACGATTGTTGTATTTTCTAAAAATCCCTTAAAGTGTAAACACTCCTCTGCCGCTGAGTGGGAAAGCCTTTCGGGTAATTTATTATGTCACCATGCAGACGTAAATCAACAACGGTTGCAACCGCAAGTTCAATATGAAAAACTAAAAAAATTTTATTTAAAAAGGAAGGCAGATTAAAAGAGGCGATAAACTTGAAAGTAATGGAAAAAGTTGCAATTTATCTGCAGCACTGACCCATTTTATGCACATATTTACATGCATGTGTATGCGTATGAGTATATATGTACGAGTATAGCATCATACGAATAACACAAACCATTTGCAATATTTTGCTCAAAAGCACAGAAATATAAGCACATACATACATATGTACATATTTTTGTGTTTATAAATATAGGCAACGCTGAATATTTTGCGCCAATTTTGTCTCCATTCCTTAGTGGAGACTTTGTGATGCAAATTTTTTCTCTTTTACTTTATTTTTTATCGAAGCTTTACACTTCTAAAGTCATAATTCTTTTATTTGCCGGACACATGTATCGAGTCTCCCATGGTAGGACATAGTGAAGATGGAAAAAGTGTACATATGTATGTGCATGGTATACATATATTTCATAGTTGTAGACTTAAAAGTGCGTATTACTGTTCGAAAGGCCAGTGTTCGAGTCCTGGTTTAACCAACATTCAAAAATTGTGGAATTTTTTTTGTAATTGTGGCCAACCCATGGCAAGGAATTTTTGACATGAAATAGCAAATCCACTGCAAAATGTATCGGTCTTTCAGAAGCGTCTTAGATTAAATTTCAGGTTCCTCTTTTTATTGGAAAAAATCAAGAGCCTCATCATAGATCAGAGCAGAAGCTCGACCGAAAATCACTTTAGCGCGGTAGCGGGTTCATATCCTGATGTCGTACTAGCGTCTAAATGTTATAGAAAATAATCTAAATGAAAAATTAAGTTAAATTTTCAAACTGCGGTCGCCCCACGGCAAGAAATTTCAACCCCTCCGAGTGCATTTCTGACATGAAATAAATCTCCTCATAAGAAAACCATCAACCATTCGGAGGCGAATTAGTATAAACTGTAGGTCCCTGCATTTGGTGGAAACATTAAGACGCAAAATTACAAGTTGGACTCCTCGGTCGAAAATAGCTTCAGCGGTTACAAAGCGCCAATTATATATACACACTTTTATTTTATAGTGTATCGCAGAATGTGTCGGTAGAGTGCTAGTCTCTATGTATATGTTCTTCTTTATTTTGCTACATTTTCAAAAGCTGATTCGCGACTACTGGGAATACATATGTAAATATATTTGTATCTTTTTTGTTACTTTCCACATTAGTCTTTCAGTAGGTGTGAGCCGGAAGTGAACTTTAATACAATAACTGCACGTATTTACAACAATCGCCATGAACAAAACAGCAAAAAATTGTTTGTTTTTTTTTTCTTACTCCCCCCGCACGCTAAGTCGGAGGGAAGAGCACAGGTGTAGAGGAAAAATTGTTACAAAAATGATACCAAACTAACTCTCATTGCTTATAAATTCTTCCGGTGGCGGAAGTGAAAGATTGCTTCTCCCTTAGCGAGCGAAAGGATTTGCAAAAAGCGAAAATGTTAAAAAAAAATGGAGGAAGGAGTGAGCAAAGCTAAAATGAATAGACGACATAAAAACAAAACAAAATATATGTTATGATACAAAGCATATGCAAGAATGTTAAGCGTAAAGTGACTTTGAAACTATTCTGCGCAGCATTCATACCATCACATTCATATTTCAACAACAACAACAACACGCTGTTTGTAACGGCAACACTATTTCAGTTTATTTCCTTTATATGCATCACGGAGGAGGTTAAGTGAATTTCCGACATAATCTTCTTTTGGGAGATTTGGAAAGTTGGAGTTATGCATGTGTATGTGTACTCACACTTATATAAATACCAGCTGTACTCTGCAACGTTTCGCTGTGGCACATACTCATTGGATGTATGAAAATTTAATCATGGGATATGTTTTTTTTCATGAATTTATTCACTCAAACCATTTTTGATTTTACCATTGACATTGGCCCACTTCACGGAGAAAGGAATAGCACGTATTTTTGAATAGCCCAGTCTCCGGGCCATTATCCGGAGAGAAAAAAAGTTTTCCTGCCCATCTCAGCAAAGATTTATGTACCGAATTTCAAGTAAATTGAACAATAAATAAAATTTTTTGAATACGTCAGTCTCTGGTCCACCTCCCATAGAACCATACAAACAATATGACACTTGATTTTTCCTAACAGACATAAGATTTTTATATATAAGATAGCAGTGTGTATGTTCCCATATTTCCGAAGGGTCTTTAGTCCCATTTTTTGAAAAATTTCATCTGGAATTCCATTTTTAATTAATTATGACCCTAGAAAAATTGCATAATTTCAGTATTTTGCGATTGTTTTTTTTTTTTTTTGCTAAGTAAAAGTACAAAAAATGCAACTAAAAAAGCCTTCAGAAAATTTAAGTCTTCAACTATCGTTAGAAATATTTTGCCTGAAACTATTTTCCGAAATTTGTGTTTTAATTAATTTCGGATTTTTTCGTATAATTTTCATAAGCTAAGCTTTTTAAATAAGTTAAACTTGTACAGTTAGAAATTGGAATATTTTCACCCTCACACCTCCTTACACCTACAGTTATTTTCCTTTATGTATGTGCATAAAGTGTATGTATGTGTTTTGCCTAAGTGCATAAAGCTTTTATCGTTAAATTTTGCATAACTACAGTTTCGAAAATGAAATTCAAGAAAAAAAATTCAAGTTATGTCTAACCGCATAAACAGTACAGCCACAGACCACAATTTTTAGGTGACCCCCCAACAAACGGCGACCACACCTTAATGCCCCAACGGGCTACAGTCGATAGCGCAAACAGCCAACCAACCAAACCAACCGACATTGTTGCGCTTTTATGACCACATGAAAATAATGGCCAAACAAAATGTTAAAATGGCTACTTTAAAGTGCTAGCAGAGCCACTCACACACACACACACAGATGCACACTTTCATAATCACACATCGTTTGGGCAAACCCTGGTTTCGGCTGCGCTGGGCGCTGGGCGTTGGGGCCTTTTGTGTTTTAAATCGAAACCTTATCGACGAAGTGTTTGCTGCTGTGTCTTTCCACTGCTGTCTGCTGTTGGTGTTGTCCACCTGGTGCTTTTGTATACCCTCTGGTCCATTTAAATAGTAGCAGCAGCAGCAGCAGCAGCAACAAGATTCAACACAAAAGCCAGCGTAGCAACAAAATGGTGAAAGCTAAAATTTTTACTGTCGCTCGTGGCTGGACTATCGAACAACTAACGGTTATGTTTTGTCGCTTGTGGTTTTACGCGTGTGTGTGTGTGTATGTGTGAGTGTGTAGCTGGTAGCAACTACAGCAACAAGAATGGTCATCATATTTAAACGATACCCAAAGCGTATTCAACGCCTAGGTGCATAAAATCACAACAACAACAGCAACAACAACAATAAAAGCAAAGACAACGACAACCAAATGACACGTAAAAAATGCCAATGTGTTGACACAATTTTACCGAAAAGCACACACACACACACACACACACAAACAGCGGCATACGTAAACAGATTTTACTCTGCCCACGAATGCATGCAAAAAGCCATTATCGTGTGAAATTTTAAAAGGTTTATTGTTACCCAAGCGATAGCGATAAGCACCAGTGTTGCCACTTAATAGCAGTTTCGCTGCACAACGGTCATTTATAGCGGTGATTATAAGGTTGTTAACACTATTAGCATATCGCTGGGATATTGAAACTATAAAATGCATAAAAATGCTGAATGAAAATATGTCTGTGTGTATGTAGTTGTAGCAAAATCCATTTTGGCTTATCATGTAAATTTCTGATCAAATTTAATACAATACGAACTGTTCAACGACAAAATATTTAGTTTTTTTTTAAAAAAAAACAGAAAAAATTGCGTTTGAAATTTGATTAAAAAATATTTATACCAGGGAATTCGATACGAACGCACTAGTGAGCCCATTAATAAATTCACAAAAGTATTTTTCATACTAAAAAGTTTCGCCATTGCTTAACTTCTGGTGCTAAATGTTTGAACCGAATGAGTTTTGTATTTGAAACATCTTTTATATATGAAAAAAAAATTGAAATATTTTTTTTTAATTTTTTACAATTCGCACCTTGCTATGGCGAAATAAAAATACACACATCGTGTGCAATTAATAGTTTTCATCCGCTTTTAAATCTTCCCTTCGGCACGGATGTCAGCCTTTTGTGGACATCATCATTGCTAACGGTTGCCAAAAGGCGCTCATGAATGAAGCCAGCCAAAAGCGAAAGAATCTGCAATTACAAAGAGAGATTAGAGAGAGGCAAAGAAATTATTAGGAAATAAGCAAATAACAATCTTTCATTTGTAAATAATGTAGCTACGTTTATAACATCAAAAAGAAATGACAAAAAATGTGAATGCCAAACTCGCGACGTGACGCGTGAGCAACATAAATAGATTGGCGAGTTTTCAAGGGAATGTCACTTGATGAGCATATGTTATATGCAAGTGTGTGTGTGTGTAAGATATGAAAATATTTTTCTTCTTATATCTTTCACGAAGTGTTTATGCTTATGGCATTGCTGAAAAATTCGCCACATCAACAGATTTATGACTCGCTGCCACTGCCACTGAGATAAATGAATTAAATGAAAGACTTTGAAGTGTGTTTGCTGTGTCTGCATCAATATTTGTTTTAGGTGCCAAAGTGTGGCATGATAAATATTTATACAAATCTTTTTCATACTGAATCCTCGTTTTTTCTTCATTTTGACAATTTCAAATAATTAATATATATTGATATATGTATATAATATTGTAAAATCATAAAAAGTTTAGAAATTCCAGGGAGAAACCCTGAGATTTAGCACATCCGTTGCTGCCTACATTTAGGCGCTCCAATTAAATGTAAATGGACGAGCTCAATAAACTCATATTAAAAAACTACATCAAAAAAATAAGTTTTATTTAGTTGTTTAATGAAAGGATTTCACAGAATGTACTTTACCAGTGAATTCATTTTACCATATCACTCTACTTGGCTTATATTGTTGTCAAGTAATTTCAAAGTACGAGGGGCTCAACAAAAGTTCGTTATGTTGACCAGAAAACACAAATAAAATTCTTCTTGTCTTTCTTTTTGAAAAATGTTGGTAAGCAGTCTTCGGTGTATCATGTTTTTGTTACTGTCTGACCTTTTTCCTTTTGATTATATTTTACTGGTGAGTTTGCTCCTGTTGGGCCCCATACCATGTACTGTTGTTTGGTTCCTGGATCGTACTAATAGAACTAAAATTCGTCCTTAACTTAACTGACCATTTTCGAATTTATTTAGGAAAAATTATGCAAAAAGCTCTCGAGCCTCTTTTTGGGCCTTATCTATTGTAAGTTTTGAACTTCACCAGAGCTAGGGTGACGTCATCAGTGGAAGATTTTGGTCGTTTATCTCGGGGATTGTCCTCTACGGGAAAAATGTCCGATCTGGAATCTTAGGAATAGCTTAAAAATAATCTTAAAGACTACACATGTAATTTGACATTCACTGCATATTTGTATTGTCTGTAAATTACGTCGAAATCCGAAGAGAATCGCTTGGCGAATTTCTGTTTGCTTTGGTGATGTAATTTCGTCTGACCTAATCTCAGATATCTTGCGTTTTCTGGTCTCCATTTCGACCGATCAATATAAAATTTGTAAGGAAGACTAATAAAGTAATTGATCATTTTAGATTTAACAAAAACTACCACTAACTAACCGAACTTTTGTTAATCGCCTCGCATGTATATGCTTAAATATATTATCAATTATAATTTAATTTAAATGTACAAATATTTACTTGTAATAAATTATACTATTAAAAGCTTGTCAACGATAATTTTGTCAACTTTGCACATTTACTTTACTCTCCAACAACAACAAACACAACCACTAAGGCAGACCTTTAACAATACTAATAAAGAGAGAGCGTGGACAGACAACTATTAAATGCTTGCTTGGCTCTGGTTAGGTCGGTCAGGGTAGGTGTAGAATTAAGGACAAGTTTTGAGTAAATATAAATATCTATATATGTATATATATATTTAGATAAACATATTTGTTAGTTTTTATGTTCCGAGAGCAAGCATATATTCACATATTTAGATGTGAATTGCCCCTTACAACTACCGATACGATTTGACCAATGGTGCAATGGTCAATTAAGTTACACACATGTATGTATGTATGTATTTACTAGTAAATAATATTGTAATTATATTAACATGGAATGCGTATTTGAAAAGGCCGACCGAAGGCCTTCATTAACCTTGTCCTCCAGTGGGAAAATTTATTCGCGGCGTGGCATGTATGCGTATTTCAGCCTAAAATATACTAGTGTTCTTCAGTTCCAAAAAAGACACAAAAAATTACTAATTATATTTTTGAAGCAAACTTCGTGACTTCTTCAACTAAAAAGTGTTTCAAATAAATTAATTAAATTTAGTTTAAAGGTATTTCATGAAAATCTCCTAATATAATTGCTATATTATTCATATTGAAAGGTTAAAAAAGCAATATCTTTACCAATCCCTTTTTAAATAAAAATTATTATTTTATTTTTTTTTTTTTGTATTTTTCGGACTATTAAAAATTCAGTCATAAACTTGGATATTTGATTTGCGAATAGGAGTAAATTATTTTAGATGTTTGTATATCACACTCCTTGCTTGCTAACGCCCTGCTTCTACTGCACTGCTTTTGTTTGTGCAAATTTAATTAACCGAAACTGCTAATATTAATGCTAATATAATTGGCAAACAATAGGAATACATAAATTGATATGTAAAGGCTCATACGAGTATACATACTTATACGTGTAACATATAAGCATACAGAAATTATCCCATACATACATGTTGATACATGTTAGCATACATAAATCATTTCCTTAAAAAATTGCAAATTTTTTAACAGAAAAACTTTAAATTATGACATACATTTGCGCACTAGGGTGGTCTAAAACTCTCTTTCAATAAGAGTTATGTTCAAAAAAATTAAGTTTTGAAAAATTCAAGGCATTTTGTGATGAAGTTATAATGTTCTATTTTATTTAGAAATTTATTCATAAATTAAAGTTTTAGGCATTTTTTTCTTATATACAACTTAGTAATATAACTTTTTCTATCGATCAATTGCATGGTTATAAACAATTAATAAGAAAATTCTAACTTTTTCAGTAATTTATTTGATCGCTGATAAGGTAAACTTAAAATAGAACTAAACATAGCAGGACGGAATATGCAATTCGATTTGTATATCTACTTCCATCACAGAAAATTAGATCACCTTAATGTCGATACCTAAATATGCTTACGCACGCAGAAAAACGAACAAACAAAGATTAACATATTTTAGAAAATATATATTATACATATCTACATATTGCACATTCATATTATACATATTTACTTATTTATGCTCTTGATACATATTTATCTGACCATCTGTAGTTACATGCAAATTTGCTTAGGTCACAATTAACATTTCAAAAAATAAACAAACTCCTCATTTAACCCCAAAAATATAGCAAAAACAAATCGTTTAGAATGTCACGCGGTAGTTTAAAATATTTATAATTAAACATTTTTCTTTTTTATTTTTGCACATTGTCTATTTTTATAGGCTTAATTGTCATAGCCTAACCAATATTTTTTTTGATTATACGATCGTAATATAATTTTTTCTGGCAGCTGCTATTTTTTGTTTTGTTTTTATTAGATTAAAGTTTTACAACTCAAAACACAACACAACAACTAATTACACAGGTAGATAATGGCTCAAAATCTACCCAGCAGCGAGAGTAGGAGCATCAGTTCCTAAGTACTGGTATTTTACTAGTGTATTGTCGATGAGCATTCGAATAACTGACGCTCTGCAACAGCTCACGAAGTTCAACTGGCTCACCAAGTACCAAAAGCTAAAAAGCTCCGTGCAAAGGTACAAACTGGTAGCATTATAGTTCACAGCTGGTTGCTTCTCTGTAGGGTACTCACATTAATGCATATGTATGTATGTATGTAGGAATATACATATGTAGATACTCTACTACAAGCAATTATGTAAAAAAACATACATATTTTTAATATTTTTGACGCAAACACAATTAGATAAAGCGAACGATGGGCAATTGCTTAAATTGGCTTTATGGTGCTTTTGGACATTTTTTGCTCCAACGTTTTCAAACGTATTTCGCCAATTTGTTTTTATGAGAGTTTTTAGTGGCTGTAAATATATTTTCAGCGAGCTCAGCGAGCGCCCTGTTGTGGTTTTTTAAATATTTTTTAGCGCTAAAAAGCTTATTTTATACAAAATTTGCATTTGCTTCTCTAAGTGTTTTGTTTTCGAAAATTCAGTAGACAAATTTGAGAAACCCCAAGAGGAAAATAAATTAACTTTCGAAAAACCATTTCTGGGAACAAATAATAGAAAAAAATCCTATTCACAAGTGATCAAATGACAAACCTTAACAAACTGAATGTGAAACCATTGAGGGAAAATGTTGAACGTTAATATTGAAGGTTGCTCCCTTCTAAGACTTTAAGAAGGCAGAAATTTTAAATTGAACGTTAACGATGAATTTCTGTGGTTTCAACGTCTAATTTCATTTCGTTTCGATAAAAAGTCGGCGGAAGGAAACAAAAATTATTTCTTTAGGTATATTTTCATATTTAAAAATTGAAATGGTGTAGCTTCGTTAGTTGACCATCTCTGGCTCTTGCATTTTATACTCCATCGAAAACTATTCTTAAATTATTTTTTTAAACAATTTTTACAAATTTTCTGCTTGAAATTGGACTTTGCTGTTTGCTATGGAGCCACCGAGCTCCCAAGTATCTGCTATTTTTAATTTATTTCACATACATACAAATATATGAGCTACTTACACAACAACCACACCTATACATATATATATACATAAATTCCCTTTGAATATTCATCTCGATATTTCAGCTACTTTATAGCAGTCAATTATACATACCTATCTTTGCGACTTACTATGCTCAATAAATGAAATACAAATAGCCACACATAAATAGATGGATAATCGAAATCCGAAACGAAAGCCAACGTCACTGTCACAGTTCAATCTATGGGTCAGTTGGGATTTCAGTAGTGCCACCAGATGAACGTATGTACATATGTATGTATAAAAATTTACATGCGACCTGCGAGTATCCTCACCAGTGAAGTGAAGTCAAAAGTAATATGTATAGTATGTATGTATGTATGTATGTATGCAAGACATGTAGAGTAG